CTGAGTTTGTGGAGCTTTAACAGCCTGTTCAGATACGTCTATAAAAAGTACAGCCCTCAATATAAAGCCACCATAGGAGCAGATTTTGTGACCAGGGAAGTACAAGTGGGTGACAAGCTAGCGACTTGCAAGTGAGTTGCTTATTTATTCTTCTCTTTCGATCGGTGCTGACGCATATATTCTCGTACGTGGTAAAATGATGAAGAAAATGGTATGGCAGATTTGGGATACTGCAGGGCAGGAAAGGTTCCACAGTCTAGGTGCTGCATTTTACAGAGGAGCAGATTGCTGCATTCTTGTGTATGATGTCAACACAAATAAAACCTTTGAGACCCTAAACAATTGGCACGACGAGTTCTTAAACAGGTCAGTCCCCTTGCTGTCTGTTTTCATCGTTTTGGGTTATTAATTGGCTGTCTGATTGTCGTTGGTGGCATTTGACTTGTACAGTCAGATGCGAACAATCCTGAAGGATTTCCCTTTGTACTACTTGGCAACAAGGTTGATGTAAATGGTGACAAACTAGAATGGTAAAGGCAAAAAAAAAAAAAACTTGAATTCGGTTTCTTTATTTATTTATTTTGGTGAACGAATTCGGTTTCTTTAATGTATGAGAAATAGTCATGTTTCTAAAGTAGTTGTCAAGTGTTCATCGCAGGTTTCTGAGAAGAAGCTAAGGAATGGTGTGCTGCCAGGGGGAAGATGCCTTATTTTGAGACCTCTGCTAAGGAGAATTACAATGTTGAGAGGAGGCATTTTTATGTGCTGCTAAAACCGCACTGGAAAACGAGCACGAGACGGAAATGTAATCTCAGGAACCAACCTCACTTTCAATCAATGCCTATCATTAGTAACTCAACATCTTATAATACAATTATTGTATTATGTTCGTTTGATTGTTTCTGCAGATTTTTCCGGGAATCTCGGAAACCGTATCAGAACCAGAGCAGCAACGAAGTGGTGCTGTGCGTGCTGAGAATGGAACCCTGAATATTTTATTCTGTAACTTAGAGGGTTAAGGATTGGTCATGTTTTAATCCCAGAATAAATTAGTATTAATCAAACTCAACAGCAACGTTCGAATGTGTTTTAACCCCAGAGAGCGTTAATGGAGATACGAAGGTAGTGAATGTTAGGTGGCATGTCAACAAACATAAAAGTGCGACTCGTGATAAAACGTGAGTTGCTGCGGTTGTGTTAGGTGGTTTGTGGATAACTTCATAACCCACCTGTTTTCCTTCGTCTCCTTTAATAATGATCCGTCAATTTTTTGGGTGTTCCGTGTATTCATTTATTAACCTCTTTTGTCAGAAATTTTTATCTGCATTTAATTTATTTGCTGTTTAATAAAATTTAATTAAATTATAAATATGGTTTATAGGTGCGCAACATTTTATTATTTTTAAGAAATGATTAATGTACAATCGTTTTCATTATATGAAATAGTGGGTTGAATTTGATTGTTTTTGTTTTCAACTGAATTACGTTACTTGATCGAGTTGAACAGGACGCGATGCATCAAGATAATCATTTACGTTGGTCGGGAAAAGAAGTCATTTACAACCGTTGCCCACTTATTCTCGTGTCCCTTCTCACGAGCATCAGAGAAAGGTCTCGAACGAGATTTTAAACATGAGTGTTATTACTTTCTTATATATTCCTACGGTACTTAATATAGACTTAATTATTAAGTTGATTTTGATTATAATATAAGACTTATTTCTCATATTTATAGTTTTTTTCTAAATTATTCTTATGGATATTCTCTATACCATAATCAAGTAGAAGAGGGAGAAGGATATTAAGGAAAATGATCATATGTGTGTTTTAGAAAAAATATGTCATATTTCTTATAACTAATTAATTTACCTAACTTCTTTAATTAATCAAATTAGTTAAATATGTCTTATATAGGACCAGAGGAGTATAAATATAGGGTAACTTTTTAATATAGGATACTTCTAGAAGTTTTACTTTATCCATGTTTTAAATCATTTCAAGACATGGGAAGAATTGTTTCTCATCGATTACTCCTATGATCCTAAATATAATACCCTTATACTAGTATGTATAAGGGTGTTATATTTAGAACCGGAAGAGTATATTACATGATTAGTTTCTTCTATTAGACGTGTGTCCACAACAGCACTACATAAAAATTGCAATTTTTAGCTATATATAACCGGAACCAGTTTCGATCGGTTAGGAATCAGTTTAACAGTTTAACTGAAACTGATTCCATATATAATCAGTTGAACAGTGACTCCAGCTTGGACTGCGCGGAATTTGTTGCCACTTGACAAAGATGCATATGTCAGGCAGACTAACTTGTCTCTCCTCTCAAAACTAGGAACACAAAACAAAATATGTGTTGTGCAAAGTAACAATCGTGGAACAAGTAACAATCCTTGTAACGTTCTGGTTGTAAACATTGTAGCCCAAGACTTCAGAATATCCTCAATTCCTGACTATATATATTGCATTAATAATTCCCTATCATCCTTCATCTTTTGTCCTCCGTCAGTGCTTTTAATCAAAAGTTGCGCGGGCATGGCCATGGTGCGAGCGCAGTCCTAATAACGTGGGCATGCTGTTTGGTGGTGATGTGGCTCATGTAAAGAGGGCAAGAAATAGCAGGTCTTGGTGTCAACTGGGGATCACTAGCGTCACACCCACTGGATCCTCCCATTGTGGGTAAATACGTTGAAGGACAACGGGGTCAAGAAGGTTAAGCTCTTCAACGCAAATTCTTGGACGCTCAATGCCTTAGCCGGCACAGACATCGAAGTCATGCTTGGAATTCCAATGATCAGTTGAATCGCTTTGCTCGCAGCTTCCATGACGCGAAAGAGTGGGTCAAACATAATGTCTCCAAACATTGGACAAGGGTGGGGTCAGTCAATATCAAGTAAGCAATCCATATCAGTCTCGCTCCATCGTGTTCATATGATGAGACTCTTTCTTGCATTATGGGGAAAAAAATTTACCGTGTGTTGTTTGATTTTTAGGTTCGTAGCGGTTGGCAATGAGCCGTTCTTGAAAAGTTTCAACGGCTCGTATCTGAAGTCCACGTTGCCGGCAATGCAGAATATTCAGGAGGCTATAGAGGGATGCTGGGTTGGGAGATCAAGTCAAGGTCACTGTGCCTTTGAATGCCGACGTTTACGAATCACATTCGAACATGCCATCGGATGGGGATTTTCGCAGTGACATTCACGATCTTATGTTACAGGTAGTGCGTTTTCTTAACGACAAGAAGTCACCGTTCTAGTCAACATATATCCCTTCCTCAGTCTATATCAATCCCAGATTTCCCTCAAGATTTTGCATCTTTGACGGTGGCCGAACAATTACCGACAACAACACACAATACACCAACGTGTTCGACGCAAACTTCGATACTCTCGTTTGGTCGTTGAAAAAAGCCGGTTTCCCAGACACGAAGATTGTGGTCGGAGAAGTTGGATGGCCCACGGACGGTGACAAGAATGCCAACCCCAATAACGCAAAAAGGTTCAACAAGGATTCCTCAAGAAAATGGCAAGCAAGAAAGGGACGCCTCTACACCGAGAACCCATAGAAGCCTATTTGTTTTCGCTATTCGACGAGGACCTGAAAAGCATCGACCCAGGCAATTTCGAGCGGCACTGGGGGATTTTTCGCTTCGATGGGGTACCAAAATATGCACTGGATTTCACAGGGCAAGGACGAGACAAGATGCCAATAGGAGCAAAAGGGGTGAGTACCAAGAACGGAAATGGTGTGCTGCTGAGGAAGGAAGAGAAGGACATGAGCGAGGTGGCGAGTGCACTGAGCGATGCGTGCCAAGGTGCGGATTGTTCGAGCCTAGCACCAGGTAGTTCGTGTGGGGACGTAGACATGCCTCGCAGAGCCTCCTATGCGTTTAACCAATATTTTCAAGTGAGAGACCAAAGCGTGGATGCTTGTGATTTCAGTGGAATGGGGCAAATTGTGAGCGATGATCCATCCTCAGCAAATTGCTTATTCGCTGTAGAAATACAGAGTGGCAGTCACATGCTCAAAGCAGAGCATGTGGTGAGAGTGCTGTTGATTAATGCCTTCTTCGTCTTGTTCTTGACGTTGGTATAATTGAACGTCTTCTGTGTGGCTCTGGCTGGCGCCCCGGTTTACTGATGATGCTGAGTAGAAATGGGTTGACGTTTTTAGCCTCAAAATTAAGCTTCCGCAAGGATGCATTGCATTATTTGAAATTGTAATTTGGGTGTACAATCATTCATTGTGAATTTGTATAAGAGTTCAGAGGATTTATTATAAAATTTACGAGGTTAGAAAAATTATTTGTGCACGACATAAAATTCAGGGATGTTATGTATAACTTAATCTGATCCAAATTTTATTATTTTATTATATATGTTCTTACGTTGTTTGATATTGATGATCGTTGGTATATTTTATGTCTAGTACGCGCATGGATGGAGAATTTTGGGTTTTGCATCATCGTTCTTTATCTAAATATACAATAATTATAATCAAATTGTGTATGCAAGGTTTTACAAGGATTTCGGAAATGTCACGAAATCTTCATTTCGCCAATTAAGATTGAATTAAAAACTAGTTGAATCATCCGTAATTTTCTAGTAGAATTCTTTATGAATTTTTTTTTTTGCCAAACAAAGTTTTGTCACAATAAGGGTGTGTGTTTGAATGAAAATTAAACCATAGTTTCAAAAGTGTTTTTATAGTTTAGAAAGTAAATATATGGAGGAATTTGTTTCGTTTTGCAGAAGTACTTTTGAGAGTTGCCAAACATCCTTTAAAAACGTAATTTTTCATCGTTGGTTTGATTGCGGGTCGGGTTAAAATCCATCTTCAGTCGGGTAAGGGATCAACTGTCCGCATCCTAAAACATGACTGCAGAAGGAATCAAGGCCTTTCGTCCTTCGTCGTTCTATCCGTTGTCTGCTCTAAGCCAGCGCCTGTATCAGCTCCGTCACAGTCACTGTAGTCACTGGTAAAAATTCTGTGCCTCGGTGTCGCTATATACTTGTTTCTCTTTTTCTTTTTTCCGCCCCTTGCTTATGGAGTACAGTCGAGCAAATTAGATTGTGAACCATGACTTCACTGGGTACTTTGGAAACAGCCTCTTGCTGCAGTTATAGTTTTAGTTGTTTATTATCCCCCCATCGTTGTAAAGCTTGCATTTTTAGGAATCTTGGTAAAACTTCCTCTGTTTCTGTTAAATTATCTATCAAACTACTGGTTATGTATGTAATATGTATTGCGTGCTTGTTGATTCGTTTAATCTCTTCTTCTCTCAGTTGTTAGACCTTGATGGGTCCCTTTACACTGCCCATCATTGCTGAAGCCTCTTCCATATCATCAACAGGTAACACGGGTCACCATTACCTGATATTCATATACGGCATCATGCAGAAATTCGAATTATACCTGTGTGAGCATACCAGCTTCCAGTGAACTCAAGGATTCTCATATATTATTTGGTGGCCGGGATTATAAAGAGAGACCCTCTAACTCTAATTGCAAATGTTTGTCTCCTGTAATTGTATGAAGATGTGTGGATTTTGCCGAGTACCAAAAATGTATAAAGTTCAAATGATTGAAATTTTGGCAGTGCATATAAAAGGGACATTATAGTGGGATAAGGCTTTCTTGTTGTTGATTAGATTATTGTCTTTCACGGAATGAATTTAGCAAAGAGATCACATATGGGGAAGTGGTGGGAATCTTCATTCATGTGATATTCTTGCACTGTCTTCCTCTGGATTATACTCTCGCTTCTTGTTTGAACAGGATATGGTTTTGCAGATGCTTGTATCAAGAGGAAACAGAAACCATTGCTGAGAAAATCTTTTGCATCAACTAGCATGGGAGGCGAGCAAATCCTTTTGATTTTTGCCGCACCTTATTTGGCAAGTATAACACGTCCATTGTTGTCCTATTTATAAAAATGTTCGCAGTAAATGCATTTCTGATGATGTTGGGACTTGAGACCATGTTTTATTTTAAGGGAGTCCCAATGTCTGATGTGCAAAGAGAACGGTCAAAATTGTCATGTTTTGAGCCTTTCTAGGTGCTTTCCGTTTTCCGTTGTCTATTCTGGAGGATATCTCAACTATGCCCTCAATCTTCTATTCGTCAAATAATTGAAATGATGATATATGCTTAATAGGAGTATGAAATTTTTATTTTTAGTTCTACATCTTGAGTACTCTTTTGGACCGAATCTATGAAATAAAAACCATGAAGAACGTGGGTTGTCTAAGATGATTCTGGGTAGAAAGAACATATTTCTGTGCTCGTTCCTTTATATAAAGGGTAGGCATCCACAGTACATTTTGAAATCAATTCGAAGCACATCTGTTTTATACTGTAGGCAAAGAAAGCATGCTAAATATGTTCTCTTGAAATGAAAAGGTAGGAATTATGTGTCTGCAATAATAAATACTTCTTGAGGGAGTACAATAAGATGATATTCGTTGATTAGCTACCATTCCTTAGATATAAAGAGAGGAAAGCCCACAGCTTTTTCCAATTAGTTAATCTTTTATTTTTATTGACGCTGGTAGAATCTGATACTGATTCTTTAACAGCACTTTGATATTTCTAATGAGCGTAGGAATTTTGCAGAGGGCTTAGTTGCTGGAGGTACAGCTGGAGTTGTTGTTGTTGAAACAGCTTTATACCCTATTGATACTATAAAGACACGCTTGCAGGCAGGTTCCCGTGACCATAAATGATAAAAATTGGCCGTTTAGTGTTTTTACTTAAATATTTGCGGAACTCATTACTTCCTGATGCGAAATGGTGAAAATCCCGCTATTCTAGATTATAAAGGCATGGAACTAAGGGTAAGGTAAGCTGTAAGGATGTCCATAGAGAAAACATGATTAGCTAGGGATGGAACACCAGGGGGATAAACGGAGGATGCTAATGGAATTTGTTTAGATGCTTTTGTGGGCAGGAGTACGAGAGGTTGAGATTGGAATAGGCATGGAAAATGACAGAATGGTTTTGGCTGGAGATAGTTAGCATCTCAAAAGCCCAGCAGTGGTCTTTGTTTTTGCTCCTCTTCATCTTTTTTTCAGCTATTTCTTCTGTGTTTTACCACTGTACTTTCTGTCCTTTAAGAGCAAGTGCATTAAAATTTCTCCTTGTTTCTTTTTTCGAGTTGTTAGACTGCAATGGTAATGTTTTCTCGAGTTCGTTGGCTGGCTTCTATCACATGTTACCTTGTTTTTAATTAGCGCCAGGCTACTGGCCAGGCCAGGTTCTGGGAAGACTTAGCCTTTCCGATGATGAGATGTCTTTGTCTACTGGCTATTAAAGATATTCATCATGAACATTTAGTTGTTTCAGTTTGTGAACCCACAATTTTATTGCTATACCGTTTATTTTTGTCGCGATCTAAATTATTCTCATTTGTCCAAATCTATAACAAATATACGTATCCTTTTGTTGCAGGCTGCCCGTGGAGGAGAAAAATTAGTGTTTGGACGCCTTTATTCTGGATTGGCAGGAAATCTTGCTGGTGTCTTACCGTGAGTATTTTCTGGAACGCACTGCAGTGCAGGATCAAGTTCGATTCTGATTGTTTGAAAGGGTGATTGGGCTTAAGATAAGACCACTTCTGCTTTAGGATTCTCTAAACCTCAATTTCATGAGTTTTGCACAATATTTTTGTTCCTCTGCTTATCTAGATTTTTCTTTTAATGACTAAAATCAACAAAAGTAACTCCTATCCAATATCTATGCATAGTTGATGCTAGATAATGAATCGTTTTGCAGTTTTCTTTTGTTAACATTAAAGCATTGTGTTTCTCTAGTTATCAAGATTCGGATTCATCAACGTTCTTTTTATAACATCGTGGAGTGACTTGTTGTCCAAAATTTGCAGGGCATCTGCTCTGTTTGTTGGAGTCTATGAACCTGTAAAGCAGACACTGTCGAGGATATTTCCAGAAAATCTGAGTGCTTTTGCTCATTTTGTAAGATACTCTTACTGAAAATTTTAACATATTTGAGATTCAATTGTCAAATTTCAGTACTTTCCCCAAAAACCATTCGATATATATGCTGCTAATTGAAACGAGACACGGACTCCTTATCCTGCCTCGTTTTGTCTTTAATTTCCTTAGTCTGGAAGCTGGCTAATTAGGGTCATGAATTTTTGGAATGTTTGGCCCTTACTAGAGTGGTCGCTTTATTATATTGTTGCCTGAGTATCTTTTGCTTTATGCAAAATCTTTCAATCCTTTGCTTTTAAATGAAATTATTTCATAAGGATTTTAGATTTTATATAGACTGCAGGTGCCATGGGGGCATTGCAGCTTCCCTGATTCGTGTTCCAACAGAGGTAATGACTACCTTGTGCATAAAAATGGTATTTCCATGATTAGAAATTAGCTTCACTGGTCAACACCAATTTCATTAATGATCCTTAGGTTGTTAAACAACGCATCCAAACTGGGCAATTCACTTCGCCTGTTCTTGCTGTTCGCTATATTTCTTCTGTCGAGGGCATCAAAGGACTTTATGCGGTATGGAATCTCTCATCTTATTATCTCCTTCAGAGTTGGATTACCTCCATTCCCATGGCATTAATTGTGCATTAAAATGTTTTTTTTATGTTGATCTATGAAATTATAGGGATATGGGTCTTTTCTACTGCGGGATTTGCCCTTTGATGCTATTCAGTTTTGCATTTATGAACAGCTTCTTCGTATAGGTTATATGTTGCGGTAAGCCCATCAAGTTCTTTACCTGTTTGTATATGTATTGATTTAGTTTACTGATTCAATTTTCCATTCGATGTCCTGTATTTTTTTTCGTGCTCCTCTTTGTGTTTGATGATGATGTGACTTGCATTTCCTTTTTGCCAGGCACGAAGAAATCTGAATGATCCGGAGAATGCCATCGTTGGTGCTTTCGCTGGTAATATTCTAGCCCCGTCTGTACATGCTAACATATATTTAACGTATCAATGAACTTATGCTAAAACGCGGTTAGCTAATGTAGAGATATGATATGATATTGTATGATTAGGATATGATATGATATCTCTACAGCTAACAACATTTTGATTTTAGGTGGCACTGACTGGCGCTATAACTACTCCCTTGACGTCATTAAGACGAGGGTAATGGTTCAGGTAAGATCATGCAGCTTCCTGCTACTCTAATTGTTTTCTTTGGGTTCCCCCCTCTTTTTTTTGGGAGGATTACCAAGTGGCTCCGTAAGCAGAGAAGACAAGGTGTGTAGTATAGTAATCATGATCCATGTGGGCTGTTAGAGTATTGGATTCAGTGCTGACCATGAGTTTCTATATTCTTCTGCAAGGGAACTGCAAACCAATACAAAGGAATCATGGATTGTGTTCAAACTGTCATCAAGGAAGAGGGACCTCAAGCTTTATTTAAGGTATGGGCTTTCTCTCCATTTTCTCCTTCACACAGTAGCTTGCGTGGTGGGCTAGCAGAATTCTGTCATTGTTATTATGGCACCACGTTTTTGCATGGAATTGAAAGCTTTCCTTCGCGAAGTGGGTCTTATTTCTGGGAAAAATTCGAGAAAGTGGGGTGCTTCATATTTCTGTGCTCGACAAATAATTGTTTGTTTTGTGATATGGTGATTGGTGGAGTCCTTTTCCTCATCATGAAGTGGTTGGTGGAGTTATGCGTGACATCCTTGTCATGTCCATGTCTGAGAATAATCATTGTAAATATGGTATGAGTGACTTTTGTTCTTACCCGCCCAAGCAATTTCATTAATCGCCACCGACCCCCTCTTACATTTAGACTGAGGAATATCAATCATCCTACGAGTAAAATCTTGTCTGATAGTACATGTTATTATTTGTGCACTTTGCATGCATTTATTTTGCACCCACACGAAGAAAAAGCAATTTTAGCCTTCCTCAAATCATGCTCTCAACATTTAGTCCCGTGCAGGTTCAGATAAATTGCGACGGATCAGCAGAATCGCCCTTGAGTTTTATTAACACTTTTGAGTCTTCTCATCTACTATTTTGACTACACAGTTTCAGTTTACTTATAAACAAGTACAGGTTAAAAAAAAAGTTGTATGATTTGATCTTGGTTTGTATGTTTGTGTTTGAGGACAGGGCATTGGGCCAAGAGTGCTATGGATAGGGATAGGTGGCTCAATCTTCTTCGGCGTTTTGGAGGGCACCAAGCGTTCTCTAGCAGAGAGGCGTCCTAATCCTCCTCCCCCCAGCTCTAACTCAAAGCTGCAGTGACCCAAAAATGTGTGATCTTGTTATATCAAACATGTTTCTTGACGGGCTATTACATCATCACACGAAATAAAAATTACGCTGAATCTGAAACGAATCATATTGCATTGGTTAATAGCTTATAAATATTATAATTTAGCATCTATTTTATATATTTATGTTAATCTTGACATGAAAATGAAGAAAGACAAAAATAGAGGCGACAAAAAAAAAACTCACATGTGATGTTGTCATACTTTGACGTGACCGTTTAACTAATTTATTTTTGTTTGCAAATAAATGAAAGTCAAATCTGGGGTTTTATTGTCTCTATTGGCCACACATTTTCCACACTCGTGTTACCAGTTCCTCTCGAAACTGATTAATATATAAAGGGGGGGAAGTTTATAAATTCTAAGATATTATTCCGAATCATTAAGGCTGACATTTATCATTAATCTAGTGCCCTACCAGCAGAGAATTTTCAACGTTCTTCCGACCAAGAGAAGAGAGTCAATTGCGTGTCAAAATACACCTCTTCAAAGTAAAAATGAAATGGGAATAGAGGCATATTATATATACAGATATATAGCAGAAAACAAGTAACTTTGTTGATTGTGAAAATATAAATGGTAGTTGG